ACAACCCCCCAAATACCCCCTCCTTACACAAATCTACCTGCTATACCCCAGCACCCCCCCCCCCCAAAATCACCCCTCTTAGCACATCCTCCTAAATTTCCCTCCTAGAACAAATCTTACCTGTCCCCCCCCCCCCCCCAAAAAAAATTCCCCTCCCAGTATAAATCCCCAAAAATTTCCCTTCTGAGCACAAAGAGGACAAATCCCACCACATAGAGGTAATCCTCTCATCTCCCCCCCCCCCACACACACACACAAACATTCATTACTTTACCACCTGTTCCCAGTGCAACTCTCCTTTCCCTCACAAACACAGACCTCAGATGCACCGCGGAACATGACTATCTGATCCTCTTCAACCTAGATTACTCCCCATCTTAACACGGAGAAGCCAATTTCTAACCCTTTGCACAGGCAGCTGGTGGGAGACATTCTGCTACTGAAAGGGTATGGATAGTGGCTCGGGACACTGCTGGATGTCAGACTGGGCTTTTACAGAGTTTGTCTACCCACCCCCCACCCACATTTTTTTCTGGGAGGAGATGGGAGTGGGTAATCAAATTGTAAAGTACCGATTTGACAGTCCCCATGCAAGAGCGCTACAGTGACAGGAAAGTGAAGGAGAGAGCTGGGAGGAGACATGGGAGGTGCTCTCCAGCTTCACATTGCTATCACTGTGGGGCTCTTGCATTGCGACTGTCAACTTGGGACTTTACAGTTTGCTTACTCACTCCCATCTCATCCCAGCAAAGAATGTGAATAGGGGGTGGGTAAACAAATGCCTTAAAGTCCTGATCTGACATCCAGCAGTGTTCCTGAGCTGCCCCCCTTCCTTGTCCCGGCCCTTCCTGCCAGGGTATCATGTGATCACTATAACCAATTATAGTGTTCACATTATGTTATGTAAGCAAACTGTCATGAATTGGCTCACAGCTATCGCATGGTACCTGGCACCCTGTACCATGTGATTGTGTCAATCACAGCATGTCAACAGTAGGCAAGCTGTCATGAATGGAAAGCCAATGACAGTTAAATATTGCTTATAACAGTGATCATCACTGTTAGAAGCAGTAATAGTGTAAAATAGAAAAAAACCCTGATCACCCCCACCAGAGTAGCACAGTGTCACTGTGGTGATGAAAGTATGTTAATAAAAAGTTTTAAAAATTAGATAAAAACATTATTGACCAATAACAAAGTTGATTGGAACACTCGATGGTGGAAGCTTCAGTTTTAAGTTGCGGGCACTTCAGTGTGCGGTCCATTTTCTTTGATAAGAGGCTAATTTTCTCTGTATGCATGCTGGAGAATTAACATTGCTGTATGGTGATCTTTCGATACAGGAAGGCTTTTTTCTTTTTTTTTTTTTTTACAATGTTCACATTATGTTAAACTGATATATTGGGATATTTTTAGGATTTAGTGGCATAATTGCATTTTTTTTTATTATTTAGGAATGTGTTCAATGTTTGCATTCCTTTTCACTTTAAACATTATATGAATGGAATTTACATTTCATGAATCCTTTTGCACCATAGGTTATATGAATTTATATTTATTGTATGTTTTGCACTTTCTGCACACTATGGGGTTGATTCACTAAAACTGGAGTGTGGATTTAAAATCTGGTGCGGCTTTGCATACAAACCAATCAGCCTCCAGGTTTTTTATTTGTCAAAGCTCAACTGAACAAGCTGAAGTTAGAAGCCGATTGGTTACCACGCACAGCCACACCAAATTTTTGCACTCTCCAGTCTTAGTAAATTAACCCCAATGCGTATGGAGTTGATATAGCGCTACATAGGTATGTTGGAAATTTTATGAGCTTTTTAGTTCAAAAAAAAAAAATGTATATATTATTTGATTTGTTTCAGTGGTATAGACACTTTCTGCAAAGGATTTAGATCTAGTCTAGTATCTCATTTTCTGGTCTGTCCACTCAGTGGTGCTACTTCTGTATTTTTAGGATATAACAGAAAGTCTTAGTGTTGGAAAGTATCAGGATTGTATGAAAAAGTTTTGAACATAAAGGTTGTCAAATTCCTGAAATCTTACAAAGAGATATGTGTTTAAAATTCATAGTCCTTGGTAAATAATTCAGCATTTTAAACTATAATCCACATTTTTTTCATTTGTACCAATGACATCTCTCTGACAGTTTGTCTACAGGACAGCCTGAGTGTTTTAATACTGTCACCAATGTAAAAACTACAGGTAAAAGCACGTGTTATAGCCCCCTCCTGTTTTGGGAGCCTATAGTTACTTATCCTGCTGGCCCAGCTCCTCTGCTTTTTAACCTTTTATGTAGCAACTGAGGGGAGGAGCAAAGGGGATTATTATAGAGAGTGTCACTTGAAGGACTACTGGGCTGCTGACAACACATCTAAGATGATGGCAACTGGTAGCAGTCTCATGACTTTTGGTCATCTGGACAAGAGAGGCTTCTGTAGGTAAATAATATGCACAAAGCCTTTCTACTGCCCAGATAGCAGAAGTGCAGGGATTGGCCTCAGGGCAGCTGGAGAAGCCCACTCAATGAGTGGAGAAAGACTGCAGGGAGTTGCCTGGAACTATGAGGACTATATGCCCTGGGAGGCAGCCTCTATTAGGTGGAGAACTGTATGGGACCACATGTCCTAGAAGGATGAGACAGCTGCCCTGTGGGAGGGTTTGTAGAGGGACTCTTAGACTTTTAGGCCTTAGTTTCATAATATATACAGGGGTTTTATTGTAAAAAGGAATTGAAACAACAATACAGTTCAGTAACCATAGACTGTTTGACATGGTAAGCGTAGTACAATAGCTACAAGTTGTAGTACATCCAACATAAAGCAGGAAAAAACAATTAATAGTTACAATATACAAAGTAAGCAGTGCTGTATCCTGTACAATTTCAGGGTTATACCCAGGATATAAAGAACCAAAAAAAAAGGAGAGGGGGGGTTGAAGGGGAACAGGGAAGGGGGGGAGGGGGAGAGAGGGGGTAAGGAAGGGAAAGCTCAATAGTCTACCCACTAGTAGTGGGCAGTAGTTTCACTTATATTTAGGCCCCCACTAGAGTCAGGTGAGGTTTGGGTCCAGAAATACTCGATTCAAGCATTGTTATTCTTGTACTGTATACATTTTGCTTTGCTTTGTGACTTCTTACTACTGTTGGTTTTTGGTTGTCTTGTTGGACGTGTAGCCCCAAAAAAGTGGGATTTACTAAAGCTGGAGAGTGCACAATCACACTCACTTCTGCACAGAAACCAATCAACTTACAGGTTTTATTGCCAAAGCGCAATTGAACAAGCTGAGGTTAGAAGCGGATTGGTTTCTATGCAGAAGTGAGCCTGATTTTGCACTCTTTCGCTTTAGTATATAAACTCCAGTGTGTTGGATGGTGTTGTATCCTGAATCGGACAACCTGTACAACAGCGTTCCTTGGGTGGTAAGTGGTACATTTAAGACTAGCCTTTTTTGAAGGCCAGAAAAGCAATGACAGACAACAGATTTCTCTTAGTACAGGTTTTCTTTTGTATAGACAACCAGCAATAATGTGTAGTAACTATTGATGAATAGATTTAAAATGTACCTGTACTCATTTTAATAATGATAAACCACCACTTCCATCAAACAGTGGCCTCCTCTAGGTGCCTACAGGCAGCTTCTGCTGTGCTGTACAGCACACAAAACCCCTTAAACCCAGGGAGTTGTATTCTGCAAATGGAGACTGAAACTAGTTGGTGGAGAGCCATCACAACACAGATATGTACCAATAGAGGGACATAAGGTAGGAAAATGCAGAGCTATCTCACAAACTAATTTGGAAATTTAAAACCTGCACATCAACGTGCCCTGGGTTTGGGGGCTTCCTGGTCCCTCCATGACATACCAGAAGCTCCTTATAAACTTCTGGGGGTGCCTGTTTAATGCAAGTATAGGGGTAGAACATGTGCTAGGAGAATAGTTTTTGATGTTCTCTGGGTCACTACACTTTGCACACCCCCTTAAAGACTTTTATTACAAAGGATATCAAAACTATACTTATAATACAATATAATTACAAGTTCTAGGTATAGTCTCAAAGCTGAACTTTAGGGAACTAATAAAACACCAGTTAGTTAAGTTATGCATTAAAATCACAAAATGTATTTCAAATGCCACTATCATAAGCCATTGAATATGACGTGGTGTAAGCCTTGTGTCATTCATTGCATGGCAGTATCTCCACTGAGATGGGATGAGGACAAAAATAGGATGTAGTGCAATGCTCACATACAGACAAGGAACATGCTGAAGAAGAGAGATAACACTTCTTCACTGTCCATCTATAAACTGGCAGCAGGGAGGCAACCAGGCTTTATTGCATATCTGCCATAGAAAAAAATCAGGCCAGTAAAAGTCAGACATCAGGGAGACCACTGAGGTCTCATTAAAAAATCCCTGTCACTAAAACTGCATCACATAGGGGACTTTGTGTCTCCTATGTGATGAAAAAAAAGTTAAAGTATAAAATAAAAGTGCAAAAATAAAACTTATACCCCCTTCAAATAATGTTTGACACCACCCCCCCCCTTCCCCCCTACTCCCTCATATACACACGTACAAATGTAAATAATTTTCTAAACGTGTGCAAAAATTGCAAAAATGGCTCTGGCACTTAAAGGGTTGAAGTATTTCTGACTGCCACAGCGTTGACAATAGGGTGCTGTTGATTCAACTTTCTTAATTTATAGCTTGGCTTAGAAATGTGAAAGGTAGGATCTTTAATGTTTCCCATGGGCAACTGTTATTTATAAATATGTTTTAGAAACATCAATAATAATTAATATTGCCAATAGGGCAATACAAAGTATTATTGTAATGTACATAGTATCCAAGCAGATTTCAATTTTGACACTTCAGGACTGCTGCACACATTTTAAAGTAATAAACACAAAACACAAAATTCCAATATATTGCATCTTGCCAATCTTTAAATGTGGTGACTGCATTCGTTTTCCTAGTTATTTTGCTTGTCATGTGAACCATTTGCCAAGACTTGATATGGTTCTATACGAAGGGACATTTTGTAGTTCTACACATGCTTTGCAGTAATGCACAATCCAGGAAAAAGTTCCCACTGGCCTTAGTTTTGACCTCCATTTGAAGTATCCCTGGTATTTCTGATCATTTTTGTCCAGTTCAAGAAGATAGGAAGCCAGCTGTTTTGCACTGGGGAAGTCATCCACGTGAATGAAGGAATCAGATGGAATAAACCTCTCATAGATTTCTCTGGGTGGGCCAAGAACCACTGGCACAGATCCTGAAACCAAAGCGTTTTTCCAGAGTTTTTCTGTTATATAATCTGTATGTATTGAGTTCTCAAAGGATAAGTAGAACTTGTATTTAGAGACAACTGAAAAAGTTTGATCAGAGTCCAAAGCTAGGTGTTGTCGACCAAAAACATGTATGTTTATATATTTCTTCAATTCCTCATAAAACTGAACCCTTCTGGAACTAGGGTTCCAGTTACTGACAATCCAAGCCACCAGCTCAGACTTTTCTGGGATTGTATAGTTAATAGCAACTTCATTCTGCTCTAAATATCCATAAGGGGTAAAAATATCAGAGTCACTGCGGTAGGACATCGTGAGGTTGATGAGTTTGTCCATGAAGTGCAGGTTTTGGCTGTGACTTGGAGATTCCAAATTATACCACACCCAATACTGTCCTTCTGGTCTTGGCACCTGAGGCATTTGGTTTTTGGATCCACATACATCTCTGTGATGGAATACAACTGCATTTGCTGTGCTATACAAGCTACGGTTGACTGTAAGCAAGCACTGTGGACTATCAAAGGGTTTTGGACACTTGTCTAAAGGGAACTGGTCACCAAATGGCCACGTCCATAACAAGATAACAAGCTTCTTGGGAAGAGCTGAGGAATTTGTGCATTTCTGTTCGATGGAAGCCTTGTTTATGATGTAATTATTACTTATACGATTATAACTGAATAACATAAGGGCAATTATAGTTTGAATGAGGAATATAACAAAATAATGATGCCGCAATGATGGTTGTTGTGTTGGCTTCATTGCATATCTAAAAACCAAGAACAAATAGACAAATCAGTGTTCTATATAACATAGTCTGAGTAGTATCAAACCCTTAGAAAGAAAAAAAAAAAAAAAATGCAGAGTATAGCCAAATATCAGCTAACATTGATATTTCAGTTTTTTTTACTTTTGTCGATTAGCCTTCTGGGACTTCACTGATGTCATATAAATACGGATTTATATTAAAACTAAGCTTGTTTGTGCGTTTCTTAGTGAATGTACAGTAATCAATCAGCATACTATATCCCGCACCCATGGTGTTTTGCAATAGGAGAACATGGAGAAGGAGGAGGAAGGGAGGGGGGAGTCATTTACCACTGTGTATACACCCACATGTGTGACTCTGTACTCATATGGGCTGCACAGATAAGAAAAAGGAGGAAATGAATGAAGAGCTTAGAATGAAACTGAAATTTGATCATGCTCAGTGGAGGACACCAGCTGGCCTACATAATTTCAGGCTGCAATGGGAACATACACACATTCAAAAGTTTTTCTTAGTTTATGTTATAAAATTTTACAAAATAAATGATTTTCTTCATTGGTGTGTGCTGATGAGGCTGCACTGATGATCACTGCCTTGATGATGATCAGTATAAACAATGTACGCACTATGCCCTGTCAGACTTGCCACTTATTGGCTCTTCTTTCTTCACACAGAGACAGAGTGCTAGGAAAGGAATATCGTTAACTGGCAAGTCTGTTTACATGTGCCCCGCTGAGATTGCACATAGCTGATCACATGGTAATGGGCCGCTTTGATAGGTTTGTCCAAAAGATACAGAGTGCAGCTGATGCGCACCCCATGGGCGTCCTTCCAGAACAGGAGAGCCATGCTGTAGCCATCTTTCTGCTATAGCATGACTGGGAAGTGGCTAAAGAGGAAATCTCATTACAATTTTTAAAATGTCATCTATTCCCCCCTGGAGACCAAGTGGATATGACACTTGGTCTTGTTCAAATCCATCCCTCAATCATTGCTAAGCAGTGTGGATGGACTGTTCTTCCCCTATCTAATCATGCTGTTAGAAAGGTGTCAGATTTGTGAATGACAGCTCTGGTCTCTGGCAGCAGGAACCTTTCTGAAGACTAGCACTGCCATTCACATACTGTAGATCACACAGCCATTGGCATTGTGTGTCTACCAGCGGCTGCATTTACACATACACTGCCCAGCTGATGGTGCACAGAGCACCAAAGCACTGAGCGACCTTTCAGTTTTATGAAAGAATGATTAGCTCTGCCCGGCAGGCTCATACTTGGCAGCCAGGCATTGCTTGTTGTTCATTCATAAAAATGGAAGATCACATATCACTGCAATGTTGTGTCATCCAATAGCTGGTGCTGAGTATGTATAAAAGCAGCCGGCAGATAGACACACAGAGCCACAGCACGGTGCAATCTGTCACTAATATGAATGAACAATTAGCACCACCTGTTCATTCATGATAGAAAAAGATCCGTCACAGATTTGGCTCGATGTAATCTATCTGCAGCTGTTTGTGCACATGTACAGGGCAATGGCAGATACTGTACACTACACTCTTCTACTATTACGAACAAGCAGTGTTGATTGGAGAGAGGCCTTGGGTTCTGTGCTGAATGTACCTCCCTCCACAGTTGTGCCCATAATTTAGGCTTCAAAAATTTAATATTTTTGGTCAAAAGGTGAACTTATCCTTTAATATCAAGTTATATTTTGTGCATTTAGGAATGCATCCAGCTCTTTTTTTTTTTTTAAACAATCTACAGAGCTGTCCAGAACAAGTTCTTGAGGCAGTCTATTCCACACTTACTGCAAAGAAGTTTTTCCATATAGAGAGGTTAAATCCCTTTTCTTCCAGAAGTAAAGATAGATCCCTTCTCTTCTATAATAACCTGAAAGCAAATAACTCCACACTAAGTTCCTTATTTAGACCACCAACAGTATGTACTATATTTATACATGGTGATCATATCCCCTCTTAATCTCCTCAACAGAGAATAAATTCAGTTCAGCTAATTTTTCTTCATAACAGAGCTCCTCCATGCCTCTTCTCAGTTTGGTTGCCCTTCTTTACACTTTTGCCTATATCCTTTTTTTGAACGGATTTGTACAGGAGCAAAATTATACAAAGAATTGAAAGGTAGTTTGTAATGCTGTAGTGTACAACATTCTATAAGATACAGAAACGTACTTGGAAAGACAGTCATTTTTGCACTTAATGATTAAAATGTGAGACTAGAAAGCCCCATAGTTTCAAGAGGAGTTGACACTGCCCGTACACTAGAGATATTTATTTTTAAAAAATGGCTATACATATACTTTAAGTTTATGAGTAGAAAAGGAATAGACCCATTTTGTTGTCTCCACCTGAAGAGATCCACTCTCTTTTTGTCTTGCTGGCCATTGTCCCCAACAAAGAAAGTGATGTGAAATTCCAAATTTTACAGTGGTCATAGAAACAGTAGGTATACATAAATCTATCAATGGGAACAACTGTTCCACTGACAACTGTCTAAGGAGAATCATTTTCACTTTTTAGGGATATCCTTACCTTTTCTGTTGCGCATGTAGGACGGGAAGTGAAGGGAAATCTGCTCAAGGCACAGGCAGTAGAAAAACTGAAATGGCTTATCACCCTTTCCTATATCCAAAACAAAAAATTTTAAAAAACGTTTTAGCTATACATACACTAATTTTTCATTCAAACTGCATTCATTTTGCTGCCAACACGGTTTCTAAAATATTGCGGTTATGAAGATCGAAGACATAAATATTGGAATATCAGTAGAAAATAAGATAACAATTGAAAACCATATAAAGCTTGATGTGTCAAAGTATTGTACGAAGAGCTTTGGTTAATTCCTCTCAGCCAATCAGATTAAACCCTTCTTTCCAAGTTTCACTCTAAGCACTCTGGTCCTTAAAGGAAAGCTATAATGATTTGTACTCCAATGCTTAATGGAAAGTTACTGTATAACGGTTTGCACTCCAGTCCTTAATGGAAATCAACTGTATAATGGTTTGTACTCCAATCCTTAATGGAAAGCTATAACGGTTTATACTCCAGTCCTTATTGGAAAGCTATAACGGTTTGTACTCCAGTCCTTGATGGAAAGCTATAACAGTTTGTACTCCAGTCCTTGATGGAAAGCGAAAACGGTTTGTACTCCAGTCCTTGATGGAAAGCGAAAACGGTTTGTATTCCAATCCTTAATGGAAAGCTATAACAACAGTTGGTACTCCAGTCCTTAATGGAAAGCTAAAACGGTTTGTACTCCAGTCCTTAATGAAAAGCTATAACGGTTTGTACTCCAGTCCATAAAGTGATTGTAAATCTCAGACATGAAAATATGAACAATGCATATCCCTCTGTAGTGTGTGCTTGTCTCAATCCAGAGCACTAAGTGTCATTTGTTTCTGCTGCTACCTCCTTCTTCTGCTATCAGCATGAGTCACTTCTGGCAAGTTTTCCTGATACCAAGAGTAGAATGGTGACAGGGGAGGGATCTCCAGCAGATTGACAGCCTCAGCTCTGTTCCTTTGTGCTGTGAGAATGGGGGGGGGGGGGGGGGTGTCTTCCCTCCAATCAGCACTCTTCAGCGATGTAACTTCAGCTCTCTGCCCCCTGCTTTTCAGAGCTGAAATATCCTGTGTACATTCTGCACTTTAAATGGATGTAAGGGGAAAGATGGCTGTAGATATGTAGGTACAAGTTATGTAGGAAGATTTTATCTCATCTCATCTGGGTATATGGAAGGATTTACAACTACTTTTAAGGAAAGTTATAATGGTTTTCATTCATTCCAGTCCTTAAAAAGAAAGCTATAATGGTTTTGGGTTCAATTTATTTAACATGTATACTGATGTTTAATTTATAATAAGGAATAATTATAATTGTATTAAAAAATACACATAATTTGGGGATAAGAGAATTGACTCAAGTGAAATTAACGAGTTTATAAGCAGATCACAATAAACAGGGTAAAACTAAAAGTGGTATAATTTTTCATGAGGTCTTATGCTAGGAGTTACCCCTGGTTCACATATCCACGTTCCTGCGGGCCACGTTTTGTGTGGGCACGAGAGCCCTTTCATTTGAATGGACTCCCGTGCCCCGGGACACGCAGAGAAGTCCCTGCACTTCTTTTGAAAACGCAGCCCGCACGGGAACCAAGGTTCTCAGTGCGGTTGCAACTTCCAGTGCGGGCGGCATGCCATTGGAATTAAAGGCACCTGCCTGCGGGTCCACATTCCTCTGTCTGGGTGGTGCGGTTGCACGGATTTTTGTGTGGATCTGCAGCGGCACCACCCGCACATATGTGAACCTAGCCTTATAGTCTTCCATTTATGAGAGCAGTCATATACGCAGCTATTGAATGAACGCAGTGTAGACAGGACTGAGGAAATTCTATTTTTGATCAATAGTGCAAAATGCCCTATACCAAACTGGCAGCCCTCCAGCTGTTGCCAAACTACAAGTCCCATGAGGCATTGCAAGATTGACGGT